GTTATGATTGTATCGCAATTAATACTGATATAGGACAAATGGTACAGGAATGTGCTAATCCAGTAAGTCATTCCTTGCAGGAAGTAGTTATAGATAAGAGGCATACAAATATGGCTTTGGGAAGTATGATGTAGATAATTAAGGTCTTTATTTAAGGTGCAGACATTTAAGTGAATTATATATTTTTTAATTTTGCTGCCTTGTATTTTTTCTTTTTTTGATATCAGTGTTTGTTTTCATTTGTTTTAGGGTGATGAGCCACCACAAAAGAAGAAAAAGAAAGGTGGTAAAGAGCGGAATGTTATACCAGATCCAGTTAGTATTAATTGCTCCGAATTGGATACCAGTATGCTTGAAGCAAATGGAAAGCGTCTTAGGATTTTCAGGTGTGTCAACGAGTACTTTTAAAATTAAATGTAACTTTGATTTGCTCTCTGGATTTTGACTTATATATATAATTCTCATGATTTATTTGAAAAAGATAGTACCAATGTATAAGTTATGATGAAATGATTTAGAAGTAAATTAGTTAAATCTCTATCTTAATTCATCTCAAATTTTTAGTCGTCTAACTGCTACAGTGTCAAACAGCACAGAGGTCCATTTACTAATGCATCATCCTCAGCTGAAAAAATACGATTTAATCGCTGTGCGTCCATCAGATGATCAGATCCTTCAGACGTTAAGCAAGAAGGGTGATTTTGTTGATATTATCACTTATGAGCAGGCATCAACATCTGTTGGATGGCTTAATAAAAGCAAGGTAGTATTTCATGGTTTTTAAACTGTTTTACTTAAATAAAGTTTGACCAGTGTCATTTATTCCGAGGATATGGAAGTAGGAGATTTCGATGGTCATACCTGAATGTGCAGCAGAAGTGCAAGTGATAAGTGCATACGTTTTTCAAACTACAGCAACTTTAATAATGTGCAAAATGATAATGTAGTATAATGATAACTTTGTTCTAGATTATTCAACTTTGTATTAATGATGGTATAGCGTTTGAGATCACTTATGCCGATGCCTTAAAAGACAGCAGTCAAAGACGAGAGGTATTCCTCCTAATTATTAATGCCATAATATGTGAAATTTTCTGCTTAAAGACATTTCACTTATCAAACTGAAACCAAACCTTTTTTTTTTTCTACTCTTTAGCGAATAGTTTATAATTTTTCTAAAACTTGGTTTATAAATTTTGAAATAGCTTCAGGTATTAGTAAATGGTCGACAATTGTTAATGTCTACAAAAGATGGTGATGGCGTTATAATAGCAAGTGGTGCTGAAAGAATGATTGATATCAGAGCACCATATGATGCTGCCAATATTTCAGTTCTTTTTGGTATTCGTCCTGGATTAGCTCGAAAATTCGTTGCAGGTGAACGATGAATTTCATGAATTTCATTTGTTAATTCTTACTTTTTTTTTTTATTTCTTCGTTTTTAAATTGTAGAATTTTTCCAAGTTGTAAAATTTTTTTAAGGCAATGCTAAGAAGACTTTACTGAGGGCAGAATCTCGGAAGACATTGAAAGGTGGTCTGTTGATACAAAACAAAGAAGATTTGCCAAAAAATCTCACTGTGCGTTTAAATGTAATTGAGAAGATTATGAGAATACCTGAATTTCGAGCTCAACTGGAAATTGTAGAGGATGAAGTAGAAGATAAAAGCAAAAAAACTTGATTTTGGAGACCATAATGCATTTTTATATTTGATTTCGTAAAATGGAGCTATCTTGCTTTGTGTTAACTTTGTAATCGGTTCCTTATGGGATAAATTTATAATTGGAATTCCAGACAACACGACCAATCATCTTCTATCTGTAACAAAAACATTTTCAACAAATTTTTTTGTGTTTATTTTCACTGATGTATTCAGCAAAATAAAGTACATGTGATATAGAAGTGTTACATCTGGCTAAATATCAAGTAAATATTCATCATCTTTAATTTTAACTATTACTAATTCATGTTGTGGAATGTTATAATTTCGTTTAATTTCTTAATAGAATAAAAATTTGTGTTTGGAATATTTTCCATCTTCATTGATATTTATTTCCTGCATCCAAAATATGTGGATGGTAAGACGAGTTTATTTCCAGAACTTTCTTCTTGTAAGGAGGAATAAACTAAATTGAATTGGAATTGCTCTTTAGTTTTAGATGTTTGATTGTTTATGTAATTGCACCGTCTAATAACGAAAATTAGTGCGATATAGTGTAATATTTGTCTGCGAAAAACAGATGTGGAGAAAGTTTTTGGAATTTGATCGAGATGTTATTCGAAGTGGATGGAGAAAAGTGGTGTGGAAGTTACAGAAGACATTAGGATTGGATGCGAATTGGCCAGTGTTATGGAGTAAGTTTAGAATTGTTTGCAGATTTAAATATTTAAAAATTGATTAGTTTTAATTTTTGTGTGAAAATTTGAGCTGAAAGCAAACTGAAATCTTTACCCTCTCAACAGTTCATCGAAACATTGACTGGGAAGCAACATGAACAACTTACGAGCATTATTACGGAAGTGCAGGTTAGCTAATACTTTCTTCTAGAATTAAATATTCATATATGCATACATGTTTTCATCATTTTATCTTTCTGTTCTCTCTTTCGTTAATTATTTAGTTCAACTTTTTACATTTACTTTTTCAAAAATTTAAACTGTGATAAATCTTAATAATAGGTTTTTTTTTTTTTTTTTTAAAAAAAAAAGCTAAAATTATGACTTGAACAATATGAACTAGATAATCTTAGATAGCTGTAAACGTCATGATTATTTTAAATGAAGTTTGTTAAGCATAAAAAAGAGGACTTCTGGTAGGCTATATGTGGAATAAGTTACTGAAGACGGAAATTCGTTGTACTTCTAACCGAAATATATTTTAATTTTTATTTGTAACGTCCACTTTTTGACTAGAATTTGGACATTGATTCATTGTCCATAAACCATAGCAAAATTCAAAATAAGAATGAATGATTTTAAAGTTACATCAAGTAAATTCGTCCATTACAGTTGCTGTCTCGTTGTTACAATTATTTTCCCGAACACTTGTCAGATGCAGACTGGAAAAGATTGCTTCAATGTGAAACTCAAAAGCAACGGTTCAATCATATCAAATTTTGTCGTCAGAAAGAATTAAAGGAGTTGAAATGTAAAACAAAGCATCAGTTGAAGGTTGTTAAGAAGTTCGAAACTTCAAAACCCACATCAGGATTCGCAATGTTTGTGGGTGCCACACAATGCAGTACGTTATTTTATTAATATGATGATATCTTTTTTTTATTAATATGAATTTTTATTTCATTTATCAAGATCGTTCTTCACTATTTTTCTTTTTTTTTTTTGTTTTTAAATAAATTTGTTAATAACATCCAAGACCTCATTTTTCTAAATATTGCACTGTAAATGTAACCTGTCTTCAGAGCGCATTGCTAATCATCGAAGATTGATGAATCATCTCCATAATCTTCAATTAGACCCAAAGCCTGCATTGCTGATTGATTGTCGATTTCTAAATGAACTCTCGCCGCAAGCTTTATCCCAAACTTTAATCCAGCTTTCCTATTTGGCAAGTGAAAACCGAGATCGGCGACGTCCATGGCCCCTTTATTTCTTTAATTTTGATATGAAGGACGAAAACATCTTGGAAGCACAATATAGGTTAGTTTTGTTCATATTTACAGTATCCTCAAGCTTTTGAAAATACGTAGAGATTGATTACAGGTATTTATCATTGGCCAATTCACCACGAAATATATCCCTCACAGTCTCATCATCCAGCTACCTAAATCATTTTTCCCGTGAAGAAATAATTTATTTAAGTCCTCATGCAGAACTTGATTTGGAGGAGGTATGTTTTAAGATTAACATACAGAAGTTCAAATGAATTAGACCTAAAACCTTGGAAAAACTGATGATGTGCAGGTGGAAGGCTCGAAAGCATATGTTTTGGGTGGTATAGTAGATAGAGTTGCGCAACACCGTTTGCATCCACATGCAACATTGCTGGCTGCAAAGCAAGATGGAGTCAAAGTGTGCCGGCTTCCTATCGATAGATATATCAAGTTAGTTACTTTCTCTATAATTGATCATTGCTTTTAGCTTAGAAAAATCAGATAGCAATGGATTTTCAAAAAAGTTCTTAGATTTATGTGGGCATTTCTGATCCTTTCATGATAGGTCAGGGAGGAATGCATCAAAAATCGCACATCTTTATGAAGCAAGCAAAACAATATATTTTTGGCTGTTTTAATTGCTTACATAGAAAACAATCTACGTGCCTAGATTATTACTATATCACATTACATTTCACTATCGTATAGTAGTTGATCATTTCAAAATCATTAATGAGAAATTAAGTGTAAAGCCTAAAGTTTTATTATTTGTAGATGGAAATCAGGTTCAAGAAGTATGACATTGCTTGCGGTTACATCAATTCTGTACAGTGTATATGAATCTTCCGGTGATTGGGAACGTGCTTTTAGGAAGTGAGTTTATTTTTTAGCGAAAATAGCGTTTATTTTGTGAATTCCAAATTTGTATTTGATTGGACCTTTATTCCTATTCAGAATTTAAAAGTTAGAATGTGATGCAAAACCATGAGGAAAGGATAACAGATGAGAAGAATTGATGATTTGAGTGAGAAAGGTTATTTTTCTTTAAAGCAATAAAAACATTTAGATATATTCCGGTAAGAAATATCAGAGGACCAGAAGAGAAGAATCTCTACAGTCGACGTTTGCATAGATATATACATGATTATGAGAGACGCCTACTACTGGAACTTAATCAGAGATTGTAAATGACATCAAATGATTACATTAATATGCTATACAGAAAAATTAATTTTTAAATAAATTTGCACAGTTGAAAGAATGGCAAGCGTTGTTGTGCACAGTACACATGACTGTGGAGTGATGAAATAACGTTATTTTATAACCAGTTTTTTAGGAAAAGGTTCTTTTTCCGATATATTTCAATACCAAATCAACTTTACAGCAATCTATATTTTTGATTTTGGAATGTCTCGCACTAATTTTGGTAGTGCCGTCCTGACATGTTCTCGGTCGACTGATTTTAAATCGATACTGCATCTAAAATATTACATCTTAAACATCTAAATTAAAAAATGGGAACTTTTGCATCACAAGAATTGCTGGAACTAATAAATAAGCAAAATTTTGTAAGAAAGGAAAAATCTCCGGCCAAGCAAGCAAAGAAGAAAACTTCTTTTAACAAAACTAATTAATATCGAAGGCAAGGAGAACAAAACGTTAGAGTATTTTGGTAAGAAAGATTCCTACCAGCATTGATCATAATCTAAATTCAAAATAAAGTTCAACACCTGTGTATCTGCGGATTACGATGTTTACTGCAAAATACATGGCCACATGTGCACTGCATTTCTCTATCAGTTATTTGCAACTTTATTCGACATAGTCCACATCGCTTGTTCTTTATCTCATCTTTTATCTGAAACCGACTTCTATATGCATGACAATGTACACTGCTGTTATTATTATCTTTTGAATACTCAGCGAAAATAATTAGAAATTTGAACGAAATTATCATCAAAATTCCAGTAGGTAATGCTGGTTTGTGGAACAGAGTGTTAGCAATCATATAGTGAAATACATCATTTGATAATGTAGTTATATCACAATATGAATATTGAACTTGCAGAAGAAACTAAACTTTATTCCTAAATATGGTCATAAGCAAAATCGATGGAATTATTCTTATCTGCGATTAGAATAAGATTTAACTTTCACTTTAAGTAGTTCGCTTTCATTTGATGGGACATCAAACAATTCTTCATCTTCAAATTTCCTTTGTTTAATTGTTTCTGGTGGGTCAAAATATGTCGCTAATTCCTTCTGGTTTACAACGTCAGCAGTACCCTTTGGAATTGAAATAGATGGTGACAAAGTTATGGAGGATGTACTAAAACATGTACTAAAAACTGATTTGATGCTTAGAAATATCAAATGTTATTGCAAAAAAATGATATATGCCTAAAAGGCTTACGTACAAGAATTACTGCATGATGATGGTGACTGTGATAGTATATCAGTGGTTACTTCTTTTGCGGATATTCCTTGAATTTCTTGCTGCACATTTCCTGACAAGTCTTTTACGTTGTTCCGTCGAAATTTTTCTCTCCGCTGTATCAATAATTTCATTTTTTCTCGCATCTGTTCATGCTCCGCTTCCTTGCAAGGTGTAACTTCAATATATTCAGCAGATCTGAATTATCAAGAACACAGTTCATACAATTCAACAACATGTTTAATGTAATTGGTATACAATTCATTTCACGTCAATTACAATAAACATAATGTAGTGAATACTGACCATCCTACGACTAAAAACTAATAAAAGTAAAGAAAAAATAATTTAATGTACTAAAATTAATCACAGAATAGATGCTAACTAAAAAAAAAAGCAATTGAAAATAAGATGTGCCCTGAAAAAGTTGGTTCACAACTGTCAACAGATGGCAGAGAACGAATCAGATTTCGCAGATTAGCTAGCGACTGAGATATTCGAATTAAAGATGCAATCTCTTCACGATCATTATTACCAGCCATTGGTTTTACTAACAACCACAACACACTACCCGAAGTAATACCAAATGATGCCAGAGTGCCGCCTTCATTCCTCAAAAAACCATAAGAAGGTAGATATTGAAATATCAATAATCTATAAATAATCAATGTGTCATATATAATAGCTGTTTCATTTTACGACAGAAATTTATAAGTTATTCTCCTTCTTCCCAAAAAAACACAACATAATTGTATTAGCTGTGCTACAATTTTAAGGAAGAAAGATTTCTGAAACAGTAAACATACTTTAATTCCTTATTATCGTGAATGAGAATTATTTGATGAGCGCCGCCAAGTCGTGATTGCAAATAGTTCTTCAGCACACGTATACTTGTTGTTTTCTTCATCACTAACTTCAGGGGTTTGAACGATGATATGGTTGATTTAATTGTAACCTTGAATAAAAGGTTTTAGCATCTCAACTTCATTAATCATTTGAAAATTTTACATCAAAAAACATTACGAAACTTATAATTTTATTTAAAATAAGAAATTTTAAGTTGTAGATTGATATCATTAAATTTCGGCTCTGTTTAAATCTTCTATTTCGTTAAAAATATTCGTGAATCAATAAAACTTACTGTTACCACATCAGATCTGGATACATGACTCTCTGACTTAGATTTTGCAGCTGTTTTACACACTGAAAAAAAAAAAAAAAAACAGAAAGCTAATAAAAATTCACAGATACACTCCGTTATTTAGCATTCCGTTGTCGTCTTTCCTTAATAATGCCAATTTATAGGTAACATTTATCTAAATATCTCACTACCGTCAGATATATATAATTTGACTTTTCAAAATTCAAAGAATTATTCACCTCCAGAAGTACTTTGTGAAGAAATATTATGAATAACTGAAGTGTTAAATTACTTGGTATGCTGGAAACTTCAGGAGATCGACCACCAGGTGAAGTTAACGCTCTCAGCATATTTTTGTCCCGTTCATTTGATATTCTACAAATTACAGTAGCATAATTATCGTTTCAAAATATTTTCCCAATTTTAATCAAATAAACTGTTAGAATTTCAATACTTCTGATCATCGATTTTTTCATTTTTCCCTTGCGACGTGGCTTCGTTAACAATTTTCACATTAGCAAACACTAAAAACAATAAATGAAGATCTATCAGATCAATAAAATGAGCTTTTAAAAAATTAAACATATAAATGAAGGATAGATTTAAAAACTTTTTGAATTTGATGGAAAATATGAAATAATGCGTAATATTTTAATATGTAAATACAATTAGACGTACGTGACGGATTGGTCGAATGCTGTGAGTTAGACGGAGCAGACGTATTCTTTTCTTCCTGTTTTTGTAAAAAAAAAAAAAGCGTTATAAAAATAGTGAAAATCTTTGAAAATGAGACAAATTGCAACGATCAATTTAGATAGGACTGTAACAAATGAATGAATTGATTAAATTTAGGATGCAAAAAAGATTGTTTGAATGAAATTCAGAGAGCAAAAAATAATTTTTTTTTTTTTTGAATTTCTTCTGCTTGCAGCGATAATTCATCATCAGTCAGTCTACTTCATTTACTATCAACAAAAAGGTCAAAGGTCAACAGGACATTATATCAATGGAACTTTTCTCACAAGTGTAATCATTTCACTTTTCTTCTCAAATTTTTAAACTAAAATATTTATTTTGCCTTTCATGTGCACTATTCTTTTCATCAAACCTATATCGCGTTGCTAAATACCTGTAGGTGCACAGGTGAGAATAGATGCGCTTACTTACCTTTGACTTCTCATTGTCATCATTGCTTTTCATCATTGATAACGAATTTCGTCTCCCCTTCTATCTTATTTCGCAACACCTTCCACTCAACAAATGACAGATAATAAACAATGAGTCGTCTCGGTGCTTGTAATCAATTTTTATTGATAATGTTTAGATGCCGTCACGTCACACGTTCACGTTTACGTATTGAATCACATCTGCTATCTGAAACATTTTTTTTTTTCTTGTTTCTATGTTTGCTAATGGTTTTTTTTTTCGTACGCATTTAGATGTTAACAGTAAGATTTTATCGATTGATTCATTAGTTGAGGAAATTGGTCTGAGTGTCGCAGTTCTTTCTAAACGATGAATCTTGATGTCGTTTTATTCTCTCGTATCTGTCTTATATCTGTGAGATATTTGTTTATATTAGCTCTGTTTATACTAATATATATATATATATATATATATATTTTTATTAATATGATTTACCTGTTTTGAAATATCTACAAACATTTCTAATTTATTTTTTATTTAGAATTCATTTGTATGGTCATAAAGTAGCACGTTGTTTTCCAATGTTTCTTTATTTTTTCACGAAGATTGATTACATCTGATGAGATATTTTGCAATGGTGAAAAAGTTGCTTTGTTGTAAACAATCAAAAGCCGATCATATCTTAAATATCACATGTGACTGTTATATGCTCTGAAGCAAGTCCTTAGACTATAAATTTAGGATTTTTAATGCTCAATTGCAGTTATAAGAAGAGCAATTTCAGTTTCTATCATAATGGGCATCTCAACATCGATGCAAAAAGATTCCATTGTACTCTCTTGTTATGGAAGTGGAAAATTTGATGTAGGATGTGCCGAAATAATGATCAGCGATAGTGATAGTGCAAGTGGTGATGATATTGGCATCCTGTTAACAATCTACTATCCATGCGATAGTGCAACCAAATCAGATGTTCATAATTTATAACTCAGTTATTTGGAACTTTTTAAAACTGAAATGAAGTTAAAAAAAAAAAAAAGGAAGGATGTTTCTGAAATCAGATTACATGCAAATATTTTTTTAATATTTTGAAAAATAATGCTAGGTAAACATCAGGAATAATTAATTAAGTAAAAGAAAGTATATATATATATATAAAGTTTAGAAGTAGTGGTACATATTTCACTCAGTAAATAAAATGAATTTTTTTTTTTTTTTTTTTTTTTTTTATGACCGAATTGTTATTGCAATGGTATCATTGTGCTGCTGAAATATGTACAATTACAATTCCCCGTTGAAAAGAGGATTGGAATAATTTATTATCATGAAATCTTTTAAAGAAATTTGGATTTTTCTTCAGGAACAATCGGAACATCCCTTATGGCTTCCGAGAGAAGAATATTTAGATGGTTTAGCAGACTATCGGAATTCATCTTCTCGCTGGATGCATTTTATTCACAGATGGTTTGTTGGAGAAAAAAGGTATATACTTAGCAAATAAATTATGGTGTTTTCAGAATAATTTTTTAATACAGTTACTTTTTAAAAGAAAGTAATTAGAGAACTTAATTTATTGCCATGAAATTTTTTTTACTGGATGTGATAGGATAATTAGTGAGTTTGGAGAAAAAGTAGTTTTACGAGAAATCTGAAGAAAATGGTATTTGAATGATGAAAATGATTACTGAATAGCATAGATATTTTTTTGATCTTATTCTAACCTTTCAAATAATTATCAATAAATTCTTCTTTTTCAGTTTGTTAATTACAGGATTCCCGCTCGTCGGCATCTTGCATTAAATAAGAGTATAGCAAACTATCCAGTTCTGATATTTTCTCATGGCCTTTCAGCATGTCGTCACTTTTATTCAGTTTATTGTTCATCACTGGCAAGTCATGGCTATATTGTAGCAGCTATCGAGCATAGGTAATTCATGCTTTCCATGGTAATAATAAAAAAACAAGAAATCTATTGTCTTATTGCAAGGATTTTATTGACTATAAGTTTTTAAATTTGCATCTGAACAAACAAAATTGAAATTGTGGTTTTTTAGAGATTGTTCAGCTTGCTGGACATATAAATATGAAACTAATGAAAAAACAGGCGAAAAAATAGAAGTGCCGGTGAAAATTCGTAAACTTATGCCAACCGACGATGAATTTCAGCTGCGAAATGGACAAGTTTGTGGATTTTCGCTTTTTTATCTTTGTTAATAATAATTTGGGCCAAATTTTGAAGTGTATAAGAGACGAAAAGTAAACATCCTACGAACAAAATTAGTATGAATGAGTGGATAAAAATAATCTCATAGTTCATATAGAAATATCCATAGGGATTCGAAATTGTTAGAACTGAATGCATAAGTCTACTGATTTCTTTTCTTAAATTTCGTCTACGGATATCTCGTTGCAAAAAAAGGTTAGTCAGATTCACTTCTGTTTTAGTAAGTGCTTGATAAGTACTAAGCAATTTTAAAGTGAAACAAGAAGTTCTTTCAGCTTCATAAACGAGTAGCTGAATGTATTAAAACGTTACATGTACTCGAGGAGTTAAATTTGGGACAGTTTAGTTCGGATCAACAAATTGGCAAAAAGTTATTGTTGGGAAATGATTTCGAGTGGTCACAGTTCAAGGTATTCTCGGCATTGCAAATTTATGCATGAATTTCATTTGAATTTGTTGATTAAAAAATTCCTAAAAATTTTAGCTCGGTATTATTCGTGCTTCAAAATGTTTGAAATAATTTATTATAGGATCACTTAGATATGGACAGGGTATTTATTGCTGGTCATTCGTTTGGTGGTGCAACAGCTATCGCTGCTGCAGCAATTTCCCCTACTGGTTTTAAAGTGGGTTGATTTTTCAGTTTTTTTTTTTTTCTTTCTTTTTTTTTCTTTTTTCTTCAATTTTAATGAAGCAAAGCGAAATACAGCCCAATTCTGCATGTTCAGGCTGCTGTTATACTCGACGGATGGATGTTTTCAATTGAAAGAGAATTGCTTACACGTGTTTATCAGCCTATTTTGTTTATGAATGCAGAAAACTTTCAATGGGAAGCAAACGTAAAAGATATGTTACAAGTTACCGAAAACTCGAAACGCGGCATTCTACTTACATTTAAGTATGTTCGGAAATTTTTAAAAACATGATTCAAATTTTCAAATGTTTAGGATAGGAAATTGAAAAAGTATGGCAAATTTTGCAATAGCAGTATGGGAGTTAAACTGTTTTACAGTTGCAGAACAATAAATCCCTAATTAACGCTTTTATAATATATTCTGCATTTATCAAGTATGAGAAAAGAAATACTATTTTGTAACAGTTCAAATTTCAGTGAAGCTTTGCATCACTGTTTCACAGATTTTCCTCTATTGATTCCGGAAATACTCTGCCGTTGGTTCGGCATACAAAGTTTACACGATCCGGTGCAGATTATCGAGGCAGTGATTGAATTAACTGTGCACTTTTTGAAATCTTATGACGAAGACCCTCATGTTGCTCTCAACCTATTAAAATTTGAAAACATCATCACATTGGGAGCGAAATTTGCCTCGCAAGCACCTGCATTATCCACGTAAATACGTCATGCTGTCAGCATCTTTTCTTTTAGAGATTCGTAACAACTACTCAATCAGAATAATAACTCCCTAATTAATTTTTATAACTGTATGCTGCAATATCAAGTACTAAAGGAGGAAATACTATTTTTGACAAGGGATTGTGACAGTCAACCAGTGATCAACTATGTAAATTCCATTTCTTGGTGGACACCTATTCATTATGGGTGTCCACCAAGAAAATAAAAAAAAAAATGGATGCAAAAAAAAGTTCGCAATATCCCATAGAGAAGATGCTGAAATGTGAAGTCAGGCTTAGTGCCATTTGAAATTGTACTACTTGAAACTCATTAATTCTATACGGTTTTCATTGAAATAACTGGTACTTAGTTCTTCTTTTTTTCGTTATCCTTATTTCTTTTATACTAATTTTAAAGTATTCTTCACTCGTTCTATCGTATAGTCCGATTGTAAGCAATTTATTTAACAGAAATATAATATTATCATACATGTTGTTCAAAGAATATATTTATAATAGCTCATAATAATACAACTATCTTCTAGCATTATTATAGACTTGAATAAATCTTTGTGAATTGTTTACTAAATGGGAATTTTGAAATCTGACAGTTCACTTAGATCATTGGTTGAGATCATGATTGTATCATTCATCCTCAAAATAGCATGATTGATCAGACCGATTGGTGTAATCAGTGCATCAACGATGTAATGGGTTTGATCTGCCTTTACAGCACAAAATTTACCTGTCACTTGAGTACGTTCGTGCATATCGAGCTCTATCTAAACTGATGTTCATATAATTTGTTTACATCATGAATTAATGGATCCTTCGTTTCTCAAACATTAAAATTTTGCCAAATTATTACTTTTTTACCCAGGAATAAAGAAGCTTTCTACTTAAGGTAAATAACAGTTATGCCTTTTTATTTGCCTAATGAAGCAAACGTATTGCACTGATCATTTAGAAATGAAAAAAGCAAACCTGTTTGCCTCCTAAAAAAGACATCAACCTCAAGAAGCGTTCTCTCAATTCTGCTCTTTGCTCTTGTTCTGAAGTTTCACCTTGTTTGATTAACTGATCACAAGCGGAGTCTTTACCTTCATCTTTTGTCATTGCTGAAAACATCGGTTTCTTTTCCTTTATGAATTTTTAATAGCCACGAGGCAATATGTAAACAACTATGAAGCGAAAAGGGATTCAATTTTCACCTCTGGGAACTCTGCATAGGATTATCATAAACTTTTAGCGTAAACATACAAAGAGTTTATTACTCAATATTCCAGTTTGACACTGATATCAACGTAATGCAGTCAACTGTACAAAACTAAGAATTATTTATCTATATTTCTCTAATTTAAAACGATATTTCATAAAAATGCTTAATCCGATTAATTTCACTACGTTCGTATTTCATAGCATTTTAACCATACTTTTCCATACAATCACAGCAAGTATAACCTCGAAATTACTATCA